AAAAGATCTTAGCTTTGTTTGGATTGGTGGGTGTGGAGGGGAAGGGTAGGTGAGAGAGGGGGGAGGCGTCTCCTCTTTCTCTTTTTTTTTTTTTTGCTTGAATTGTTCTTTTTAATAGAGGAGAGGCAGATAAAGGAAGATCAAGTCTCTTCCCCTTTGATTGCAATGGATTTTGTTTTGGGTATTTATTTATTTTTAAAATTTTTTAAAAGATAAATAAATATAAATATTTTATTTTAACTATTTATTTAATAAATAAAATTTATTATGTCATATTATATTATATATTTTTTAAAATTATTTAGCTAAATAAAAATATTATCCTCTAATTTTCTTCACGTTCACATATTCAAATAACTTTAACACTAATTTTTTTTTTTCCTTCCCTACCCTTTCCTCTCCTCCCTTCCTTTTCCTTTCTTTTACTAATTTTTATCCAAACCAAAGGCCTAGACAATAATCAAGGAACCCCAAATTCCAACTAGAAGGGTAGATTCACTTGTAAATACATGTTGTTTAAGTGATATTTAGCATTTAAGTTTTAAGATGATCACTTAAAAAATTAATTTTTTTTAAATATGCTAATATGATATAGAGATATTTTTAAGATTGTATTAAAAAGAAGGTTTAGTCTTGAAATTAGTAAAAATTCACTTGGAATTCCTTAACTCTAAATACTTAAAGAAAAAGAACTTCAAATTTGTTGATCATATGCTTCTTCTTCTTTTTCTTCTTCTTTTTTTTTTTTATCTTGGGTTATATAATAAAAAATAATCATTTTGCATTCTTCAATATAATCTACCATGTGATTCAAATTTAAGATTTTTTATTTATATTGAAAAAAGATTACTACTTATCAAAGCTACTTAGTCCGTTGCCTTGATGAGATGCAGTTATGCATTGCGTATAAAGGAACAAGATGTTTGTATTGGAAGGACAACAAGAAACTTCATTGCTTGCATTGATAGTCCATATATATACTGTCAGAATATGAGTTCTAATTTATCCGTAAAGAGCCATTTCCTTATATCTGTTGTCATCCATTTCATCTGACAGAATGTAGTGGATCAAGATTAGGATGGTCATCACCTTCATAGTACAAGTAGTTTTGATGGGTGCTGGCCTTGCTGGTTATATATTTTACAAATACAGGCTCTAGGTATGTATAATTTATGCTGTATGGACTTACCGACCATCTTAGTTTAGCCGTATATTTGATGAGAAACCATATACTTATGGTAAACATGATTCTGCTTGCAGTCTTAAATGGACTCGGATACATGGCTATCATGTCACAGTACATGCCTGTTGGAAATATTATTAGAAATGTGGCATTCAAACCTGCAAAATGATGAAATGAAACTGCCATGAAATGGCGGCAATGAGGCTGAAAATTGACAGCATATGAAGCTGCAATTTGACAGCAAATATGGCAGCAATTTAGCTGCAAATATGATGGGGATAAAGCTTTTCAAATGACAGCAAAAATGTGCAGCAAGCTACGTTGAAAATGTTGATGAAATGAAGTTGCAATAAACAGTAAATGAAAAGCAAACGCAAAAGGAATACAAATGCAAATGAAATTAAAGGCTACAGAGTCACAGCAACATTGAGCTGCACAAAATGGCAGCAAATCTTTTGAATGAAATCTTACTTTGAATGTTTGATAGATTTTCTTGTATTAGGTAAAATATTAGGTGAGAAAACCTATTTTATGTTGTGTTGTTTTTTCTATAAATAGTATAATATCAATGAAATTTCTGAGTTGAAGTGTTATACTCCTCTCCATTGTAGTTTATGTTCTGCTCTTCATCTTCTTCCTGATTTTCTCTCCATTTCTTTGTTGAAAAAAACCAACAATGCCAATTAACAATTAGCATGCCAAAGAAGTTCGAAGTGAAGCTCAGCCTTTAGGGCAAACCTCAACTGCATAAGGTAACTGGCCATTTGTCACAATGACCACCTTTAAATCTGTGCCTAATTGTTACTTGAAATGACTCCCAGTGTTATTTGCAGGGTGTAAGCTAGAAAGTAAAGGGTGCTGAAGGTCTGGCTTCAGTACTGAACGGTGCCAAAGTATAGTTAGATTGCAATTATGTTGGATGCGATACAGAACGCTGAGACTGAACAAATTCTGGTTCCTGCCATACTGATCTATGAGGACTAGCTATACTTATCTACTTATCTGTATTCTTGCAGAACCGTTTTTTTCTTCTCCTTGTAGATATACTAGGTAAGATAGTTGAGATGTTATTATGTAAACACAGATAGAAGGAAGAATACCGTATTATGTTACAGTCAAGAGATAGGGAAAGTGAGAGAAGTAAAGAGAAAAGGATGTGTAGAATTGATGCTGTAGGCTTTGTATCTTTTAAGTTTGAGGAGACAAATCATGTTGAAAACAGCCTTTCTGTGTGCTGTGAACCAAAAACCACTTACCAGTGCGTGTTTAGTGCAGGAAAACATGGCCAAAAAAAAAAAAAAAAAAATTCAGGAAAAAATTTTCCATTTGTCATCTCTAGAAAACAGCTTTCCTTCCTTCCATTCTCTAACTTGAGCTTTGGTCTTCTGTAAATGTATAAAGAAAATTGTTTTCAGAGAATGAAAATGATCTTCAGTAAGCATTCCAATGTTTCTGCTGATCATCATAAACCACATGTACAAAGAGAGGAAGGGTTTGAGAAAAGGAACCATCTTCCGATGCAGCACTTATCATTAGATCTACTAAAAAAAGAAAGTAAGAACAGAGAAAATGCGTGCGTTAACGATTAACCTCTTTTTCTTTTTCCTTTTTTTTTTTTAAACTAATTTTATTATACTTTCATATTTATTCTGAAATTAAGTATATTACTAATGCCTAACCAATGACAAATAAAAATCAATTACTTTAAAAAAAAAAAAAAAAATCAAAGTCATCACAGTACATAGTATATATAATTAATAATACCACTGTTTAAAAATTAATGAAAACAAGAAAACATAAATAGTTCAAACACAATAAAGTCTAATTCAAACAAAAAAAAGTCCCTGTGAAAAAGAAAAAAAAGAAGAAGGTCCCTTCTTAGAGTTTAAATATAAGTAGAAAATTTCTTCAAGCATCATTCTCTAAATCTTTCACCCACTCCCTTTTCCAATCTGCAGATAGTCCAATAAAAGTCTCCCTCTCATCAGGTGACTTAAATTTAGCTGTTGCTTTCTTTACGATAGGATACGGTATGTCTCCCATGGTTTTTAAAATACGAAGGCATTCAGTAATGGAGTAAGGATCAACGACCCGATCAGCTCTGGCATCATAACACGCATACTTAGGAACCTTGCCAGAACAACATTCACTTGGAGCTGAATGAGCCCCACGCTTCTTTTTCTTACTAGAATCATTTTCATCCTTGGAGTCACAACCATCCAAGTTACCAGCTGAAATTTCTTTTTCTAAGTGGCTTCCTTCATCTGGAAGAGTTGGATCTTGTGTTGGCTTCACATGATGTTCGTCCCCCGCTTTTATGAACTTCGTCGAATCCTGCAATTGCTAGACACGAAAAGGTAGATTAGACACACAAAAGTAAAATAAGTGCATAATTTAGTTTAAAAAAAAAAAATCTACATATACCATGAAGAGGAAAAGGCATATATTTACACTAGTTATCTAGGCTGTAAACTAGCCAGCAATGCCAAAAATAAAGAGGAGAGCAAATAAAAAGAAATTCTTGTAACATAGAAAGCTACTCAGAGCGTCTAGAGCTTTTGAGTAATGACACCAGCAAAGCCACAACAAGGGGGAGAGCAAATAAAATGGTTCCGTCCCACTGAAATGTCTTGCCAAAGTCACAGCCTATCCTCTCCAAATTCTTGTATCCTCTTTTTCCCTCTTTTATGTGGCCATAATCATATATTGTCCTTGGATGAGGCACACATCAATGGAACCCTAGATCAAATTCCCCACTAAGAACAGTCAGACCACCACCATTGCATCCTATGCTTCTCTTCAGTCATAACTGAGATTGTCTCCCTCAGTACCAGGAAAACAAAGCAGGCTTTGCAGAAAGTTTGGCTTGTAATCCTCCCAATCTGCGAGCCACCAGAAGCTTGGTTTCTAATGCACTCCACTCTGAAAAACCTAACCCTCTCAAAGCTGCAGCTCCTCCTCTTACCAGCATTGCCATGAAAAGCTCAAGGAGGAAGCACAAGAAACAGCAAAACCTTGTATAGATATATAAAAGCGAAGAAACAAAAGGGAAAAATGATAAAGAAATGAAAAGAAACTCCCGCAGAGGAGAGGAATCCTAAAGGAAGTGACCCACACGACAGGGAGACGAAACCCTAATCCTAGTTCCGATGGCAAGAGTTTTTGTATTGTGACTTAGGATTCAATCTGTAATCTTTGCATACCAACAAACGTTCAGTACCATCTATATATTTTGTAATAGAAAGACAACCGATCTCATCTAGATGTTCTGGTTAAGGAAATTCTAGAAGTACTGAAGTCAGTTTAAAACATAGGTGGTAGAGGCCCAGATTTCAATACTAGACATTAATTTAACCAAGACAACCATTAAATAACATGACATATAAGGTTGCATGAAAGTTATACATAAAAATGGTTTCTAAATCGTTTTCCTTCGCACTAAGACACCTGCATGATTCATGTTTAAGTGAGATTAATTATCTTCCCATTGTTTCTGTTACTTTCGAAATAACAGCACATCTCAACAATAGTTAAGAGCACTCCATCAAATCTGCCACATACGTTGAGTTTTAGGGGAATATAACACAATCCAAAACCTAAAACCTTCTTTTATCAAAAAGAAAAAGGAAAAAAAAAAAAGCCTAAAACCTTTCAATGCATGCTTTAGATCTGCCCAACCTAGTGAAGTAACTGCAACCACCAACCATCATTGCTGCCCCTCTTTGAGCCACACTGCCTCCATTGTAACCACCAGAGAACAAGCCAAACACCAATCTCACAATAGTATCAGTCAAGCAGTGCCCAGACGCCACCTCCATCACTAAGAAACTCCCCAACGCCCCTAGTAGACCCTCGCCCCTGCCATCTTGCATGGACTTCTCAATTGTCATGGCCCACTCCATAGTTGGCATGAAGAATTGCTTCCAAGAGAGGACATGCCCCGCAACATCCTCAAGTTTCAACCAAGGTTGCAGAAAGCACTAGGTGATGATGGATGGTTGCCCACAACCTATAGCCTAGAGTGCATAGGTAGTGCCTAGGCGGTCTAGGCGGTTTTTTTTTAATAATAATTTTTTGATATAATTCTAAGAGAATAAAAAAAAATGTAAAACAATTTTAAAAATTATAAAATAAATAGAAAAATTAAACATTTTTTTATTCATTATTATGTCTAAAGAGCAGAATTTAAGGGAATTAGTTGACATTTAATGTTTTTTTAATATAATTTTTATAATAAATTAAAGGACATCATTTCATTAGGCTAAAAAATTAATAAAAAACATTTGCTCAAGCGCCTTAGGTGCCATTAAGCGCACCTAATAGTGCCTGGGTGTGCTTAATTGATTTGGGTGGTGCAAACCGCATTGAATTTCTATGGGTGGAATGGCATCGCCTAGAGCCTAGGCTGATGCGGGCAGAATGGCACTGCCTAGCGCCTAGGTGCAAATTGATCTGGGTGGTGCAAACCGCATTGAATTTCTATGGGCGGAATGGCATCGCCTAGAGCCTAGGCTGATGTGGGCGGAATGGCACCACCTAGAGCCTAGGTGGCACCTAGGCAAGCTTTTTACAACACTGGTTTCAATCCCTCCCTTCTTCCAAACATCATCTCCAGACCCCACAACATCAAAGCATGGCCTTCAACCGCTGAAAGGTGCATTTGGCTCCCTGCAGCCAGACTGGGTCCTCCAGCCCCTCCTGTTGACACTCCATGCATCCAACCTCCATGGTCCTCAAAGCAAAAGCAACAAGGATAGCACGAAAATAAATACAAAACAAGAAAGAAAGAAAGGGAAGGATCCTAGCAGAAACCCAAGCCCAAATGATCGACACTCCATGTTTCCAATTGCCAGCAGCACAGAAAGGCTCTTAGTAGAGAGAAGCAACACTCTAACCCTAGGGAAGAAAAAACCCCTAATGATCAAAATGTTTGGTTCATTTAAAATTTTAGTCCATTTTTAAACCTCATTAGAATGGGCAGAATTTAAATGAACAACCACAATAATTGGACAACAAATCCCAAATGCACCATTTAAGATGAGGGGAGGAGAGGGAAGAGGAAGTTATTTCAACCAATCAAATTATTTTTAGTTAAACAACTTAATTTAATTAGTTAAAATAATCTCCTCCACTCCCCCTCAAACTATTACAGACTCTAAATTTCAAAATAAAACCCATAAAACACATTCCATTAATTTCCTTTCTGCTTAATTGCAAAATATCTTCATTGAAAGAAAAGAAAAAAAAAAAAAAACCCCATTTTCACTTTCCAACGCCACACACATTTTTCTTTTATAGTATGTTTGATTTGAGGGGAAGGGAGGGAAAGATTTTTTTAACCAATTAGATTGCTATATTTAAAAATGTTATAATTTGATCGATTAAAAAATTCATCCCTCTCCTCCTTTTCCCATTTTCACATGAAAAAACAACAGAAAACACACTTATACTTTCCCTATTGATGCAAAACTGTAAAGGAACACTGAACATACACTTCAAACATTCAGGGTCATTGTATATTTTGACATCATCCAGATGTCCTGGTTAAGCAAATTCTAGAAAAGTACTGCAGGCAGTTTATACTGTA